GTCATCCTCTCCTCCAACACCCATTATGGCCTGGCTGTTTAAGTGGAGCTCCTCATAAAGAGTCTCCAACAAGGCCGATCGTGTTCTCTCCTGTCACACACACACACACACACACACACACACACACACACACACACACACACACACACACAGAAATGAGGCCGAGGGAAGTAAATAAAATTTTTAAGGCTGTCAAAAGACGTAAAATGTTTTAAGTCTTTCTTAAAAACTTACCTCCAATTTGGCAAATTTCTCAGCTTTGTAGCAGGCATATTCTGCATTGATTAGCTTAGTAAAAAGGAATTCATGGAATTCGGGGCCCTGCATAAAAGGATTAGAGAGGTAAGGCATCTTCTCGGAAACTAAAAGATGATCAGTGAGGTCAAAGATCTTCATCTTCTTACTTTTTTAAAGATGGCAGGGTTTGGGAGGGCGGGGCCAAAGAAAGGTACATCATCCCGTGCTGTAACTGACACCTAGAAAGGAAGATAAAGATGAAGTGCAATAAATGCTTTCAGGAGAAAACGTCAGAAATGAGAGGAAGCGGGTTACCTTGTAGAGAACATTGTCGGAGCAGGGGTTGACCACTTGGACTACAATGTAAGCGTGGAGAAAGTTGGAGGCGATCATGTCTGGTACAAAGGGAGTATTTTCTTCTTGGAAAACGATGGCGACAATGTCATTTCCTATGTGTCTTTTTCTCTGCAACTGCAACATAACAGCCCAACAGCAACTTAGTTTTATATATAAATATATATATACATATTTTATATAAAAGGGTGTAAATGATTATTTTCTCATGTAACAATTGACACAATGAAAGGAGACAAATGCCAAGCATTAGATGAAATGTATGAACAAAGTTAATGCTCCCTGGAACTCCCTCCCTGGAAAAACAACTGGTTTTTCTACTGATTACTGTTAGTATCATATTACTGATAACACAAAGCTAGCTAACCAGGAATATTTCCAACTGAAAACATCTAAAAGGATTATGTGGGATGACAATTACACAGCATTTGCGTTAAAAAAGAAAAGACTACACAAATGTCTTTAATTTCTAGCACCAAATAAAGGCAAAGTCTGAATCTTTACACTACTAAGTCTATGAAACACCACCAGGGGGTGCTGTTTCCTCGATGACAACCTCCACAGAAACAGTTTGCTCAAAGTAGCCCATATGTAGCACTCACTGCTGCAGGAGAGGCTGAACATACAGGCATTGGTCTTATCTCTGTTTGTGGATGGCTTGATAGTAAATGATAGCATTTTTCATCTTGCGATCCTCAGTTTTTGTGTGAATGTGTGAGATAAAAGAGAAAAAAAGTTGCTGCGTGAGCAATGCAGTGCTACATCTCAGCTTTAAATCACTTCGAGGAATGAGTGCTGCTCACAAACGCAGACACCAAAGCATTCGCTGAAGTAATATATCTCAAATACCAGGGAGTTGTTGTTTTGGGTTCTTTTTGTAATTTTATACTGCAGGCTTTTTGCACAACAGGGATGCACATATGCAAAATATGGTTCTGTGATGCCCAGAGGGAACCTGCCTAACCATCCTTTGAATCATAAAAGGTGTGTTAGTCTGGTATTGCATTACAGTACCTGCTGGGTGTCCCCCTCTGTGTAAGGCAGCTTTGTGGACACATGAAACATGACCTCTTTGTTGCGGTAGTTGCAGTAGACAGATTCTGTGCCAGTCTGCCCGTGAGTCACATCTAACCCTCCGCGGAAACTGCAAGCACACAGAACCATGTCTAGGAGGATATTCTCCACCATCACTGCAGCAGCGTCACCACCTTTCATGAAGCTAGTCTGATGTAAATTGTAGTGGCATTATGTTATGAAATATTAGATGGGGGATATCGAATGCATTCAAACCACTGTGAGGACTTTACCCTTTAAAGTTATGCAGCTCAATTTTCTCTCCGAGAAACTCCAGGAATTCTACAAAGGCATGGCTCTCTTCGTTGTTGCCAAACAGCTCTTCCTCTGAAGTCTGTAACAAATAAAATTAATTTTAAAAATAAATAAGCGAGCGAGCTTTTTGCAGAACGATGAGAACAGTTTGTATGAGTACTGCATAGTTTGCAGATAGGTTCCTAATGACAGTGACGATATCTGAGAAGAAAAGGGAAAACTAATTATGGTAAGGTAAAATTGTTTTTGCTCAATAGTCAGCAGTGGCACAGTGAGAGCTGTATGTTGCAAGTGTTATTTTTTTCTGGAACAGATCACTGGGGTCAGTAACTAGAAGCGAGACAACGTGTATCCAGTGTGTGTTTTGCACTTTTGTTCAGACACGGTACATTTGCATTTGAGATAGCAGAGGTTGTTCCAATTAATTACAAAAGTAGGTAGAACATTTGAAATAAGGCTTTAGGAAACATTATGATTGTGATGGACTGCTGATTATCAATTGTCAGTAACTAGAGCTATGATCTGAATAAAAATGCCTCCTTTAAAACAAAGGGATGCTAACAATACCTGGGACAAGGTCCCACGGCTCATTTCACTATTTATGATTTGCTTTCTCTGTGCAGTGAGCCTATTTGATCATGCCTGAACATCCCTCCTGAATGTAAGAGGGTCTTTTCTATCTTTGTGAGAAGGCCAATTAGATCATTTAACATGTTTAACAATACATTTCAATTTCTGTAGTATTTGCAAAATCAAAAGAAAAGATTTCTACACAGTGATGTCTCGATTTAAAGGTAGAAAAGCACTCAACACCTCTTTTGCCACCCCACATAGTAAACAAGAGGGCTGTGATTGCCTCAGAAAAGGAGAGGGTGTGCTGAAGGCAGCCACAATGACTGGGCTTAAGTGAAAGCCATAATTAAGACCACAGAGGACCAAGTATAATAAGCTCCCTTAAAAATGGATCCAAGTACTTCTACAACACTGCTTTTGCACCTGATCACATCCAGGCTTTATTGCTTACCTGTCCAAACTTTTGATAGATGACTCCAAACTTAAAATTGTTGCTTATCACATGTTCATCGAAAGTGACAATAAGTCTTGAAGCCTGCAAAAATCACAGATATAACGTTAAAGAAGATGTATATAGCTATATCTAATTATATTTATCTGCATATATGATTTATTTCTCCTGTGTATACAAGATGTTTTTTTCCTTTTCTTTTCTCTCTCTCGTTTTTCTTTTGCTAACATGCTTCAGTGCAAAGGTTGATAAAAACCTCAATCCCATTCAAAGATGTACTGAAAAGTTTTACTGAAGGTAATATGAGGCTTGCAGTATATTATTAAATATGAAATTCCATCATTTCCCCTTCAACTGTAGGATATTGCTTAAAGCAGCTGTGAAAAAATCTAACCAGATGCTGAAAGCTCATACTTCTGGGCCTAGAAAGAAAACCCTGAAAATCTGTGATCCATAACTTACTTTGGGATAAAGGACAGGATAAAAGCGGTCCACGTTGACCTCTTCGCAGACAAGCTTGAATTTAAAAAAGCCGTGGGAAATAATGTCAGAATGTGCTGGAAGTGTCACAGCAGCTTATCTTTAGACAAAAAAATATAAAAATGGCTTCTTACCTTGGCCATTTGGACCACATTTGGAAACTCTGTCAGACAGGAAATGGGGATCACATCGTGGTAGGTTTTCAGCTTGGTCCTGATGAAGCCATAAAGTAATTAGTGTGGGTTTTATAGCCATATAACACGAAGCAGCGTTTCTCAGAATCTATCAGTTGGTGCAGAGATGATCCGGTATGGACCATGATCAAAGCTCCCCGCCCTTGCCTCTCTTTGCCTTCTCTCCCTTTCACCATCCCCACCCACTAACTGGCCAAAATAGTCCATCTGTTACTCTTCTGTGGAAATGACAGAGCTGTTGACACTCTTGCTGGCTTTACGACTCTTATGATAACACCCCAGGCGGATGTGTGTGTCCGGTCAATGCTGGGCAATTTAGGGGGTAAAAAATTACTCTGTAGCTAGAGCTTGTTGTTCACAAAAGAGGCAAAATCTTACACATTAATTACTTCAGATTATGAAGTAACCAGGCAGACTTAAATTGTTGATTTTCTCAGACAATTGGGCAACATTGTACTGAACCCTGCATGAAAATTAAGCGTTACCTGAGCATTAGACGCAGATGTTCCTGGTCACCGATCACCTCGTATTTTAGGGAGAACACCAGATGTCCAAGGACACTGTCCACTGAATAGTAATTAAAGTGTTCCTGAGGGCACAGCATACATTAGTACCACCATTAGTATCTGTCATAAAGAGGCACACATGTGCACAACACGGGTAAATGTGCTCCAGTTCATTCATTTCCTGTCTGAGTTCCTTTGTTTACTCGTCCTCTGCTACATGCAACCAATTTTGTTTACTGGTATTATGTGTTTGCAAGAACACTTGCAAAGTGTAATGCATCTTCATTAGCCACAGTGTGTGAGGTGCCTAATTGTGAGGCAGGCTTACTGTTTGTACTTTATTATGCAGAGATTTGCTTATTTCCTATTTGTCCCATTACTGTAATGAAGAAGAAGTAATGTGAAATATTTCATGACAGCAATGAGACTCATTTGAAGAGGAAGGAAGCTGTTATAATGAGAACGTGATGTGAATATGACTTTGGCAATATCACTGTGGAAGAAAACAAATCTCTGAAAAAATTGTAGTAATTTAACTAAGTAACTTAGTACAGTTATTAATATTCTCATTAACTGTAATTTTAACCATGAAATAGAAGAAAATTTGACAAATATAATGGGGGAGCAATGGGGGAGATATTTAAAATGCATCCAGCTAAATATAATCTATCAGGGACATCGAAATGTCACAGATGATATGGTTAAAAACTATGCTAAATATAGTAACGTACTCAGTTAAGTAGGTTTAAAATAGAGCTGCAGGAGAGGCAATACAAGAGGAGCCCTTAGCCAGGACTGCAAATCAGCAAATGCAAAGCTGATTTAACTTAATATGCATACTACAGTTTACTTGTCAGCAGCTCCATGTGTTTCTGTCATGTGCAGAGTAGCGAACCTTGCCCAGGAAATGTTTCCTGAAGAGCGTAGCCAGGGTGTTACATTCCAGCTTGGTCCGAGTGTTCGGGGACAGAGGCTGGAGAGGCTCCGTGTCTCCAGCCTGGCTCAGCTCATGGTTGGTCCCTTCAATCCAGTAGCCCCCAAACTGTGGCAGGAGGATAAGAGGAAAGGGGCTCTTTCTCCCCAGCACCTGTTTCAATAAAAAATAGCAATGAAACACAAAGTTACTTCTCAGAGATAGACAGTGAACTAAAAATTTGACTTGAGAAGAAATTAAAAAATTTAAAAAAATTAAATTAAAATGAGATTCGATTAGCCTGAGTATTTACTAGTTTAATAAGAATGCTCGTAAAATGTCTGATCATAGCTAGTCTTTTGAGGCTTAAATGAACATTTTATTGAGACTTTGGATGTCTACAACACTGAGTCAACTGCTTTCAATATTTCTATGCTTTTATTGGAATAAAATAATAATAGTAACAATAATACTGCAACACAGCTTCGTACCTCATGGACACTTGGGTACGGTATGTAATCCTCCTCAGTCTGGAAAAGAAAAAAGAAAAATGCCTTGTTTCCTCATCGAAGAAGGACAATAACAACAAAATAATAACGACTTTACATTCCCAAAGGACACTGTTTCAGAGTAATTGCATAACAGTTATGCAATGAAAATCTGTTTAGCAATGACACAGAAATCAGCCAGCAATGCACACCTTAATGAAAGTAAGACTATTTGGCACACTGGTGATATAAAATGCTTCATCACTTTATAATTATGTGTTCAAAAGCCCCTTTCAGAACTTTAGTCTACAGAGCTTAGCATCCCACTTGCTTGTTCCTGTATGGAACATGGGCGTTTCAGTGCATTATGAAGAACACGTTGTAATACTGAATGCTGAAATAATTGCCATGTCTGTCAGAGTAAGATAAGGTGGAGCAGCCGTGGACAGTGAGAATGAATAATTTGTGTTGCTACATGAAGAGTTATACCTTAAGAGGCGGAGGAAAGGTGCACCTCTGCTCATCCATCCTGTTCCCCTGTAAGAGAAGCAGGTTACAAAAGGACAGGAGGGTCACACAAAGTGGCACGGAAGTCCACAAATACCTAAAGTCAAGCACAAAACCAATCTATGAACACAAACTGTGACATAAACAAAAGGCAAAAAAAAATGATCAAACTCATTATGTAACAGCTCAGTTTTCCCCAGAGATGTGCAGCAGGCAACAAAGCAAAGTCAAAAAAGGGACAGATGGAAAAATACAGAAAGAGATCCATTATGGTCCTCAGAGTGAGGAGAGTGAAAGACGTTACAGACGTGAGTCTGGAAGTGACAGAGAACTTTATTAAACACACTGCAGAAAAGTGTGAATAAGAGTCTTGGGGTTAAAAAGATTTATAAGTGACAGTCGTACAACTGCACATGGGGTGTGTCTGTACGTGAAAAGAGAGTGAGGAGGATCGATGCAGAAAAAGAGATGCAGCGTTACTAAATCAAGGCTAGATGATGGCGCCGACCATCATGGAAGACGATGCAGTCATCAATACACTGTCCGACAGTGGAAATAGACAATCCTGCGTCACGTCCCATGCAAAAGAAGAATTACTGCCAAACATGAAAGAATAGTGTAGTGAATAGTGAAGCACCATTGTGACTGCAATTCATATTTTTTAAAAAGAAGATAAATGTGCATTTAAAAAAATAATGCACAGATGTTCTATTATAAAACACATGTCTTGTCATTGGGAAAGCATGAATACAGAAAACATCCTTCCAGAGTCGTCAGAAACCAGGAAATAGATTCTGAGGTGAGATAATGAGCTTACAGTTCGGCAAGCCAAAGTTTCAACCAGAACGTTAACAAAGACACCGAGACAAACACATTGACAACACTCCTCTGAAAATACTCAAAATCCCTCTCATGTTCAGAGAGATTATGAGTACTGCAGCAAAGGAGAGCCAAAGTGTTGCAGAATTAGGAAGAGACACTGGCTGGTTAGTTGCTTATTGAGCACAGCTTAGTGAGCCAAGACAAAATACAGAGATGCGATCTTTTATCATCTTACCTGCATCTTTTCAATCATTTCAAATAAATCTGGGGTCTGGAGAGAGGAGAGTAAGATTCAATGTTTAGGCTTCTTTGTCTTGAGTGCAGAGGTTAGTTTGCCTTTGACAGGCGTTAGTGAAGGTTCGCTGAGTTCAACACTTTAAAATCATTACACTCCATCCAGTGACAGAAAAAAACATCTCTGGAACACCGCCTTTACATGGTTATTGTTAGGGTGTCAGATCTCACTGCTATATTTGCAATACTGCATGATGGGATTACATTAATTCAAGATAATGTGTGTGCAACATTCTATGCACTGCTTATTAGACATGAAAAAAATCCCGGTATGTGCATTTGTGCCAATACAGAAAGTGATGCTCTTTATGTTTCAGAGAGATCTATTCACTCTTTACAACTGTTAATAACCCAACATCTTGCAAAACAAAAATCCAAATAAAACTTTTAGAGGGCAAGAGGTCTATATAGTCAACATTTTACGTCTACAGTTAAGGTCTCTGAAAACCCCTCAGAAAGTATAATAATGCAACATTTTCTGTAGAAGTCTTCTGAAAGATGCCAGAAATGCCTTAAAATTAACTAATTAGGTGTTATTTGATACAAACCTGACATGGTTAGGAATGTGTTTGAGCTGTTAAAAGCATGAGGACAAACTGACCTTAAAAGAAGCATTAAAGTTTACATTTAGGAAAGCCTACAGTAGAACACATGTCGTAAAGCTGGTAAATTACACATTCTTAGCCAGCTGTTCCCACCACTTTTAAAACAGCCAACGTCTAAGCTCATATTTATTTTAATAAACATGTTATCTTATTGCAGAACATGATCTTGTCACATCTCACCGTCACGTGTGATCGACAGGAAAATGAAAAATCGACCCCTTTCTTTAGAACGAACCACAGTTTGTCTGGACATCACATTCCAAATCGCATATGTCATGTGAGCACAATGACAATAAATATTGCAAAAAATGATGAAAAACAATTGTCTGTGGACATATTGGTTTTCGGTAATTAAGTAAAAGGCTGAAAAGTTCAGCCAGTAAAGCCTGACAAAGTCAAACACTTTGTGTACAGCGCAATCGTGTCTTGGCTTTCAGTGTGACTGTGAGTAAAGTCCTCCACCATGTGCAAACAATAGTCCGCCACAAACCCTGAAAGTAAATAGCTCTGGGTTTAGCCAGAGATTCCCATATGGAAAACAAATGCAAATATTATGTCTAATAAGACTTATAAATTTACTATGATTTATTCATAAAAGTGGGAGCTTTCGCATTATACTCACGGAACATAACAATAAGTATAACTTGAATATGAATTGTGTTACTTTCAATAAATAGTATGAGAAGTAAGTGTTATAAGACTCATAAATCTATACACATAAGATGGATTATGAGTATGAGAACAATGGGACCTGCAATGCTTTGCTAGATATTATCTTTGGGCTTGAACAAAAACAAGTGTGCTATAAATGTCTCTCTCTCTCATATATCTATCTATTTATATATATATATATATATATATATATATATATAGATATAGATATAGATATAGATATAGATATATAGATAGATATGTCATTAGTTTGGAGTGACTGTCTGTGCCTTAACTTAAAGGCGTCCTCTCCACTTTGTCTGTCATTTGTTATAGATATAGATATAGATATAGATATATAGATAGATATGTCATTAGTTTGGAGTGACTGTCTGTGCCTTAACTTAAAGGCGTCCTCTCCACTTTGTCTGTCATTTGTTGATGTTTTGTATGCAGCATGTTCCTAAAATAAAGCTACTTACATTGCTGGGTTTCTTCCAGTGTGTCTTTGTCACCATTGGAGCATAGTTGTGTTTGTCAATATTTTTAGCCATTTTTAATTCTCCTTGACAAAAAGTCCTGCAGCTTCAAAGATGTCCCAGTGTCACTGACTTCAGCAGATTTGGATTAAACGCTTCATGACTGCTGTGCCTTTCTGAAATGGCAAAATCCTAGCTGCATCGCCGCTGTTTGCAAGCATCACTGACAAAGTGTTGGATCAGACAAAGTTGGTGACAAGATCCACAGACTCTCCCAGTGTGTGCTCTGAGCATACAAGATTATCTGCAAGTTTATGTCTCAGGTTGCAGGCAAACCTGCTATTGCTTAAAGCTGAGAAGTAATCCTCTGACTGAAGCTGGAGGTGTCTAGCCTTCTGCTGATCCCTCTTTGTCGCTCTCTATCTCTCAAAAGCATTGCAGGAAGAACTCCAAATTTTATACCAACCACCTCTGTCTTTACTACTATCTGTATCCTGGCTTAGGCTGACAGGTGGCAAGAGGTGGAGTCCAACCGTTCTACGGTCACAGACAACAGCTGCAACTATGTCCTGTTTACAGATCACCTATTACACTAGAATCAGGATATAGCATAAAGTAGATGTTAGAAAACTATGCAAACCAATGGTAGAATGAAAGTAATAAAAAGGAACAATCTTTTGATGAAAAACAAGACATCTCATTTCTGCAGAAATTGACAAAGAGGAGGCGATGAGGGGATCCCCAGGGAGCCAAGCTAGCACACACAGTGCAGGTGTAGAGCTCAGACCTTTCATTATGAGAGCTAATAGGATCGCCATTATGACAAGAGACAAATTAAACACGCATGGCTTCCTCTTGCTCCTCTTGACTTATCAGCTGCAACGCCGTACATCCTCGCAGAGCTCATTAAAACTTCAACCAGCTCCATGAAGTGGATCAGATGGATACACGTGAATGTGAAATTCACATGAAGTCTGGTTCTTTGTTCTGCATTTTCATTCCAGGGCCATTAAAGATATTTCCTGACATCTCAAATTTACAGAGCTCTGTAAAAAGTCACCCTGACTGGTGTAACAAATCAGTAAAAAAGGTTGTAAATGACATAAACATGTTTTCATTAGAAAGCTCACCCACAATTACTCATGCAACCCTTTCCAAGAGCAGTGGACAACAGTTCATGATTATTTCAACTCTTGGTTTTGGTATACTAATACACTTATTTCTTTAAGCACTACGGTTCTGGTGAGTAGGATGTTTCAGTTAGGGTTTTTTTATTTATTTTTTTATCTCGGCCGTTTCTGCCACCAAAATTTGAAAACTATCACTTTTAGAGTTTTGCATTACATCTCTAAGAAATCTGCAAGATTATTAATAGGACAGTTCAGTTTGAATCAGGCAATGGCCATAAGAGCTGATGGGGTTAATTGCAGATTGACCTGCTTTTCGCAGGGCTCTAATTAAAGTGATACACTCCTCGGAGTCTTGCTCCACTGAGCCCTTGTTGTACTACAGCACACCACATTACCACGCTGTCCCTAAAACTCTTTCCATGCTTTCCCTTTTTCTACTTTCTCCTCAATTAAAATGTGCAAAAAGGGAGTTGCTATCCTTAAATGTGTAAGTGTCAAACTAAATGTTCGACTAACTGGTAAGTCTGTTTTACCTACAGATGGTGCATGCTGCAAGGATAAGGAATGATGGTTTCAGCAATCCAATCTCTGAATTCCTGAATTCTTAATCCCTTTCTCTTCCTACTCTCCCTGCTTTCCCCAGATGAAGGCAGATTGTGAGAACTGTAAGCCCGTTCCAAAGTGCGAGGGATCTTTTGAAAGCAATCCGACACGAGTGACACTGTTCCTGTCGTTTAATCACCGAGGAGCTAGGAGCTATTCAGTTTCTAAGATCCCAAAATATCTCTGCCAGGTTTTCACATCAATCACAGAAGTGCTAAAGGTAAGCATAAAGATTCTGACAGCAAAATAGATTTGCTACGGACGTGACAGTCTAAACAGATTTATTGAAATTATTTCCTCCTATTTCATTTTCACTTTTGGCCCTTTTCCCTACACCTTCAATAACAGCAATTTAGTATTTCCTCAAACCATTTTTGCTGAAAGAAAGAATATCAGTTCTAGTATAGCTGATTCATAAAGGCAAAAAAATGCTTTAGTGAACAGGAGGCAAGCTGAATGTGATGAATCTGAAAATGACATGACAGCTAATAAACCGCAGGCATTAAAGAAATGGAAGAGCACAAATCTTCACACTGAAGCTTAGCCTTATGAAAACCCAGAGGAAAATAAGCAAGGCTCAGGAAAGCATAAAACAACTGTGTAATAATTGAGCCCCACTCAGTGTTATCATGCATAATTGACATTCCAATTAGGTTACACCTCATGGATGATGATGGGCATGAAGAAGCTAGTGTTTTGATTTAAAAATGACTCATTCAGGCTTTGATTTGTTTGCTCTGATGGAATCAGGCTTGTTAGGCTTCAATTTAAAAATGGTCAGCATTCGGCTGACAATTTCCTTCTAAAAATAGATTTCTATTAATTGAATCAGTCAAACATAATCATCCAGACACAGAGCTCTGTGTGCTTTAATACCACAAGTTACACAAAAGAAAGCAAGGATAGAAATCAAAGTAACACGCCATGAAACTGGGTCTAACACATCACAAGAACACTGAGCAAGTGCATCCAGACAAAAGCAAGTGTGGAGACAAGATCAGCTGAGACACGTTAAAAAGATCAAAGAACGAGGGGGTCACACAGAGGTCTTTAATATAGGTCAGCAGTCAAAGTGCAAACTCAATTTCCCCAGTCCTACCTTTTGAAATGGTGAGGCAGTGAATGGGAGCTTAGGCTGGAGCAGCTGGGGCTCTAGAGTTGCAGAAATTCGGGGGTCACTCCCATCTTGTTTCCTAAAATCAGATAGATGGAAGAGAAGATTCGGTCAGAAAAGGTCACCCAGTTTGAGATCAAGCAAGAGGACAACAAAAGGTAATGCCTCAGGAAATGTTGTTGATCTCTTTAGGCAAGAAAAAAAAAGTCGTATGGAGTGTACGAGGTACTTGTAGTGGTGTAAAGTCACCTTTTTGAAATTAGGTTACTGTTACATTGCTCTTTAAGTGAAGCACATTCCAACCTGACAACAAAATAAGGTCTAATTTACATCAGAAAGTAACAATACATCAGTTTTTAATTGATATTAAATTTCAAAATCCTGTTTTCCAACTGGTTTGTTTGATCTGCAGCGTCATAGTCATCGCGGTTGAAATCTGTTGAACAGTATCAAATTTTATAGCTAAGTTACATCTGACACAAACCCCATGATTTCTTTGCTGTTTATGGTATAAGAAACAATAACTTCCAAAAGATTTCACCTTTTCTTTTATCACACAATCTACCTCACAGACACCTCAGGGGTCTCAGGGAACAAGACCAATACTTTCACATTTATCAAAACAAAAGCATCTCTAATCCAGAAGAACGACACACTGAACAATACTAATGTGACACATCTTTTGTTCTAAACTCAATATCTCTACCAGAACAGCTTTCTCTCAGCATGATGACTGATCAATACCTCTGATGAATATGGTGCTGTATTGACACCGACAACTGGTCAGTTTCCACAGCAGCCTTTAAATTTCTGCAATTTATTTCAGTCTCTTTCATATGCGTACAGCGATTAATCATCACAGAAGAACATCTGAACTGATCACGAATCAGCGATAATATCATGAATTATGTGTATGTCTGCCGACGATTATTAAAGTAGGATACGGCAGCTACGATGAAATATGTTCAGGGTGCGGCGTACCCCAGCAGCCGAAAGGCAAGACACTCCGCAAGCAGAGAAGTATTACTCTACGCCCTCAACAACTCCAGGGGACAAAATGGAACACTCTTTAAAAAAATTGTTATTTCTCAAAGAGATAATGTTGCTGACTGTGCTGACAAAGTATTCAGTTATCTGAGTGAATGTATGGAGCTGCAGCGGATGGTCGGATGCTGAGGTCGGAGCTGCTCAAGAGGGACACTGGCTGAGATGGAAATCGGGTTTCACATGCCCTGAGAGCACTCACATTCAAATTTAGGTGAAGAAAACAGAGCATGAATCATTAGTACACCCTGCTGCCGCCCTGCTATTACACAACAAGTGAGTCTTCAATCAAGAAAAGTCCTGCAGCAAATGAAACTGGAATATTTCTAAGCTCTTTCTCAACAGGCTCACACGAAGAGCTCTCCCAAGGGAGAACAATATAGGAAAAGGCATCAGCTGTCCTGAACTCTTAATTAGAACTAATGCTCAATAGATCGTCAGGACACACACACACACACACACACACACACACACACACACACACACACATATTTAATTATGCAAAATGAATGAATGGTTTAAGCAAAATGTATAGTCCCAAAGAAAATCTAGGTAATACTAGAAGCATGTCTCCCTATAGGAGTCATATTGTGCACACATTATTATTCTACAAAAGACAGTGTACTGGGAATTTATAATATGCATACACCACTCCAGAAAAGTATCACAAAAACATGCATGAGGGTAAAGTCCAACAAATGTCCAGCACGAACTTGTCCTTCATCATAAGCATGTGAGGCAGCACAAATAACATGCTGCTGCTCGCGGACACCTGCTCGGTTCTATGTAGGACTACCATGTAAGCCGTCCTGCGGATCAGTTTGCAGCATAAAGCCACAGCCTTATCCCAACACCACAACAAATTACATAACACACCCCAGCTGGTTGGCAATGCAGCACAAAAATCAGCCGTGTGAAGAAGTCCCTGTGTGTCATCTGAGCAAACTGATGTCCTGCATGGAGCAGAGCAGGAAACTTACTCACACAGTGGTGTGGCAGCTGTACACTTGGCGCTCCCCGGGAAGTCAAGCCAGTGACCGGCACTCGGACGGATAACTCACCGTCCACGCTCCTTCCAGAGTTAAGCTTCTCTCTCCCTCGTACTTTTCTCTCTCTCTCACTCTCTCGCTCTTATTATTCTTAATTCTCCAGCTCCAGCCCGATCACTCGCTGATTCTCATCAGTCGTTCACCTGCTGGCCTCACGCTCAGCTCTTTAGACTATCGCACACTCCCAGTGAGCATCCTCTCCGATTCTCCTCCCTCACTCTCCCTCCTCCCACCCAGTCACACACACACGTGCACGCTTTAGTTGCCACTTCCTCCATCTCCACCCTCTTTGTCCGCTCTGCAGCTCTCACACACAACCCGATACTCCAAAACCTACACTCGACACTAACACCCACCAACCCCCCAACCAATACCACTTACAATCTCCCTTATCCCCCTTCCAAAGAAGGAGACCCCCCCTCCCATTCAACTGAGAACTACTGAAGTCTGCAGTCAAAAAGAGAAAGCATAGATTTTTAGGGTAAAGGGGGTTGTCTTCAATCCCCACACTGCCTCACAAGCCTGCTCGGGCTGTTGCTGTGGCAACCAACGTAAGCTACACATGAAAAAAAACCCACCCACATGCACATTCATGTTCATTATCATAGGACATGAACAAGGTGATTATGTTCAACATTAAGCACCCAGAGATGAACAGACATCGTAGCCTCCCCCAACACTCATTGTGCAGGATGAGAAAACATGTGTGGAAAGGTTTTTAATTACTGTAATGAGTCTCATTTAATCCCCAGATACATGTGCGTTTCCGTCACTTAGCTGACATCCACAGTTCCCAGCAGACCTCCGACTAATGTCACCAATAGACAGATAAATCCCTGCTAAATAATACTTTAATGCAAAGGAGTGTCAATCTATTGTTCCATTACTTAGCTTTTCAAAGTGTAAACCTGAACTACCAAACGGTGTGTGCGTATGTGTGTGTGTCAGACATGAAGAGATAATAAAGGATTACAGCACATTCATCATACTGTGAACCATTAAGAGCTGTGTATTGTGATAAAAACAAATAATCCTCTCAACTCGAAAAGCTTCTTGGGTTAAAAAAAGAGAAAAGAGCGAAGTCTATTATATCATTAATACAAACTTTGAAAAATGTCCAGATTACCAATAATCTGCTGAGATGCTCTTTCGAACTGTGACACTAATATCTCTTTCTCTTCTTAACGCTTAAGTGAAGAAAATCTGGTTCTTTTTTTTAAAGGTCCCAGTGACCTGGGGTGTAGGTTAAAAAAAAATGAAAATGTGGAATGTGACAGCTTTGTTGCGAATTATCCGATAAGAGCAGATACTGCTTAAATGCCCCGCTTAAAATCTGATTACCATGAAGTTAACACAGATTATTCGATCAGATTTCAATCAGATGAAGGGCATATGCATTTACAATGACAGCTTGAGACATAATTGAACACCAAATACTGACAAAGAAAATAGTAGAACTGGAAAAAATTTATAGCCACAAAGAGCTTTTTTTAAAAAAAAAAATCTGCTGTGGACAGTGATAGTTGTTTTTAAATTGACTGCATCTTTTCTGCTTCAGCATCCTCAGCAGAATCAGTAAATACCCTGTAACTGACCCAAACTGCAATAGATTCCCATCCCATTAGCCGCTGAAATGGCCTGTGGTCACTGCTCTCCTACCCCCATATCATATCCTCTGAGAATTGCTGCTGCGCTAAAAAATGTCCTCATCTTCCACGCCCTCTCTCTTCCAATCTCACTTTGAGCTATTTTTCAACCAAGAAGAGTTTGATAATAATCCAAAATCCTTTGAGACATAAAATCAAATAATCCCAGAGCTAAGTGAATCCTGTAAATCCCACAGGAGGTTCATTATTCCTGATGCAGGTTTCATTATTCTATTAACATTTCTATTTATACAACAAAATATTAAACTTCTTATAATTTAAATGTGCATCACCATGCTTAGCAAAGTATGCCCTGCAAGCAGCTAAGAATGTAATCTGTATGATGTGTGTGGGAGGCAACGTGTGACCTGCTAGTGACCTAAAAGGCTAGCTAAAGGTTTAATCACAGAAGCATTTCACATCAGTTACACGTCTGAGGTCTCCAGCAGGCAAGATGGCTGCTCTTCGGAAATTTGAATTAATTGTTATTTATGCATAACAACTATGTCTCCCACAGGTTGCAATTTAATTAGTGGTGGTCGACCTCAGGGGGGGTAGAACAGGAGGGCGGGCAGGGACTGTAAACAGCACTGAGCTGTAAGAAGTACAGCACTGAACGAATAACTGAAGGCATATCTCCAACAGACTGTCTACATAGATATTAATATTAAATATATAATACAGTTCAGTGTGTTCAGTGGTGAATTATGTCAAATGTTTTACTCCATCAGCTGTGTTAACTGGTAAAACAGAAGCGGGCAATGAATTTTCCCAAGTGGCCACATGAGAAACTGGGACTGTTATGGAGGGCTGCAAAGAAATATATTATAATGGTGCGCACCTCCATAATAGTCCTAGTCTCCCATGTGGCGTCTTGTAAGAATCAGTTGTTGTGATATAATATTAAATCCAAAATCTGAGAATCAAAGTCTATCAGAAATCCTTCAGCGGCACAATGTCGGAGTGTTCTCGTGCTGTTTTTGGATATGTTAAACCCTGCCTCCCATCACTCTTAAACAAATTGGCTGTTTAATCAAGCACATAATTTGTTTGCAAGGCAAAGTAGGAGTGCCAAGTGCAACTCAACTTTGAGGAAACTTTCCATCGCTATAATGATATCTCTGCAGTATACCTCAACAGAACCCTACTGTGACTATGATTGTGATGCGGTTCGATAATTATACAGCATTTTAAGTGGGTAATGAGGTTATATTAGAGGGTGGGGGAATAAAGCTGCTATGAGATGTAAGCTTATTCAAGTTGTTATTCTCTCCTGACATGAAACTCTTTGTGCTTAAGTGTCCCAGTTAGATGAAGAGTAAACAGTAAATATGACCTAA